GGACAGAGCGCTCTTCGCCCCAGTGTCTCGGGCATCGCCGGAACCCTCGGGACGTCCCCTCTTTCGGCACTGCCTCGGCGATCTCGCCATTCGCCCCCCTCGCTGACGGGCCACGCTCCGGTGGCCTACCTCGAGAGCTGTCGACCGCTCGACCCGGGCCTCCCGGGGCGCCTGGCAAGTGGCCCCCCCCCCCCCCCTCCCGCCCGCCCGCCGCACTCCCCGGGAGCATGACCCCCGCTGTGGTCCCCGGGCGTGGGATCCTAGACGCCACTCCCGAGGTCTATGTCATCCGGCCCGCGTGAGACCCGTCCCCGAGCCCCGGCTCATGGGGGAAAGCCCATCCGCGCGGCCATAGCGCCCGTCCTCGAGCCCCGCCAGGCTCGCCAGCCTCCTGCCCACTCGCTCGGTTTCCGTACACCATGTGCCCTTGGGTCCAGGTGTGGCCGGGCCACCGCCTTCCTGCTGACGCGATGCCTCGCGTGGGCCTGGCCAAGCCGAAGCCCAGTGCCCTCTCTCCGAGACGCCCGCAAGGGCCGACCTTCGCCGGGGGACTGTGCAGGCCCGGGCTCCGGTGGCCAGGGCCCCCTCCGGCCCCGGGCAGGCGCTCACCTTGCCGAGTCGCCTCCGGCCACTCCGGCTCGACAGGGGCCCGCATCAGGCCAGCCCCGCGTGCGATGTCCCGGGCCAGGCGATGGCAAGCGCCGACCCGCGGCGTCCTTCGGCCGCGAGCCCGAGAGAGCCAAGGGCCGGCCCTCCCTTGCGGCCCCGTCAAGTCGAGGCCCCTTCGCGAGACGCGCCGGCACCGTGGCCCGGGCTCCCCTCTGCCGCATGCTCCCCCCCCGCCCCCCCCCCCACGCCCGGGCGCAATATCCTGCCTCCCCTCAGACCGGCTGCTTGTGGCCAGCCTGCTTGCATGTCGCGCCCCCCAAGCGTCGAGGCCCCCCGGCGGTGCTCAATACACGCTCGTCACTCGGCCCGCATACACACGCACGCCGGCTTTCCCCAATGCCCCCTCGCCAACCGGCCACCACACAATCCATCCCGGTCTCTTGCCTCCAATGGCCACAAGCGCACACACGGACCCTTTCAGCACACGAAATGATCTCCTGCTGCCCCCCCCCCCCCCATCACCCATGGCGAGCGCCGTCAACGGGGGATACATTCTCGCCACGGCCCGCCAGGAGGTGACCCTGCCGCGGCAGATGCCAGACAGGCGGCCGACCTTCGCCAGGAAGCCCCGGCCAACGGTCCGCCATCCAAGTGCCTTCAGTCTGCGAGGGTGTGTCAGTACCATGCCAGAGCCCGGCGACATTCATGCGCGGATGCCCACCCGGGCCGGCGGCTCACATACCCTGAATGGTGTCCATCGGGAGCGATTCTATGTCACCCAGCAGCGCCGCACGGCCATCGCCCATGTCCAGGTCAGTCCCCCTTCGGCCCAAGTGGCTTCCGAACCACCAATGGCCCCGTGCCCCGCCCGCGCCCCCCTTGGACGCACCCTTGCCGGGGGGCGACGCCCGCCGGCGCAGAAGGAAAAAGGCCACCACACCGGCCACGGCCACCAGGGCCAGCACGCCCAGGCCCACGCCCAAGCCCACGGCTGGCGTCCGGCTTGTGTGTCAGTATCCAATCCGGCCACCCACCTTCGAATACACAACCAAAGAAAGGGAAAACCCCCCCCCCCACCACCACACACGGCCGGCCCCGTGCCGGGGCACCTTCGCCACGTACCCAAGCGCTGGGAGGCCTTCTTATCACCGGCCCCGGGGACGGTGCAATCCTGCAACTCCTGTCCGGTGCAGTCGTCGGCGCACTCCTCCGAGCAGGGCACACACCGCCGCATCCTCCGGTTGGCATAGGTCCCCGCCGGACAAATAGACGTGCATTCCTCGCCATCGCCCACCTTGAACTGCGAGGGATCGCATTTCAAGCACCGGCTTTCCAGGTCGCAGCTCAGCGACCCATCCTCCGGCGACACCGAGCAAGACACGTCTTCGGAAAGGAGCTCGCACTCAAGACACCCCAGCGGGCACTGATGGCACACCTTCGGCGAATCCGTGCCGGACCCACCTCCCACGGGGGGCTTGTGAAACCCGACATACGGGCACGCCTTCCTGCAGTCCCCGATATGGGGAATCAGCCAGAGGTTCGGATCCGTGCAGGATGTGCACCTGTCGGAATAGACGGAGCAAGTCCGACACGCCCGCGCGCAATCGGTGCATTCTCTGGGCTTAAATTCATTAATCACGCCCGTCGGCGAGCAGTTCTCCACGCATTTGCCGGTCGATCGGCGGAAGAACAGGGGATACTGGCACCGGCTGCAGGTGGCTTGACAATTGTCACGTCCGACCAGATGGCTGTCACAGTCGGCGCAACCGGGCTCACAGTCATGGCATGAAAGGACCCCGGCGCAGCTGACCGTCAAGGGGGGACACGCCTCGCGACAGCCATCCCGATATTTGAATTTCCCCGGGGCGCATTGGATACAGGTGTTTGCATCGGTGCAACGCTCGCACTGGTCGCCGCAGGGCTGGCACCGGGTCCCTTCCCAGGACGCGTCCGAGGCCGGGAACTGCCCCTTCGGACAGATCGATACACAGTACCCATCCACGGTGAGGTGGTCGTCATCCTTGCAAACCGTGCACTGGTCGGCCTCGGTGCCGGTGCACCTCTTGCAATACCCAGAGCAGGCAACGCACGTGCCCTCCGACTCGTGGTAGCCCTCCGGGCATGAGGTCCGGCAGTCGCCCTGCCAGTGGATCGGGTGGTCCTCCTGGCAGGTGATGCACTTGCCGGGGCTCTCGCCATAGCATACGGCACAGCCCGGCCTGCAGAGCATGCACTCGGGCCCGATGGCCGTGGTCCCGTCCGGGCATGCTGCCACACATTCACGAGTTGAAGGGTCCAAAAACCAGCCGTCCTTGCACTTCCGGCACTCCATACGATCCCCGGAGCCAGATGAAATACTGGCCCAGCAGGCGTCGCAGTTTGCCTCGCAGGGCAGGCACTTCCGGTCGTACGAGCGCCCGGTGCCCTTCGGACACATGGTCACGCATGTGAACTCCGCCTGGTCGTCATCGTCCTGCTCCTCCTGGCCGACCGACAGGCGGAAGGTCAGCGGGTTGCAGCTGCCGATACATTGGGTATGCGACGGCCCGGTGCAATCGCCACACGAAGGATGGCACTTGTAGCATTCGCTGCCGACTTGGTAGAAGCCCGTGCCACAGGCTTCCACACAGTGGCGGTTCTTGCTCGGACGCTGGGAATGGCACGACAAGCATTCGCTCGCGCTGGGACCGAAGCACGTCCGGCAGTTGGAATGGCACGCCGCGCATTCAGACGACTCCGATCCCGACGGCAAGTAGCTGCCCACCGGGCAATCCGACACGCAGGTGCCCGCGCGATCGTCGCCCGCCTCCAAGCGCCAGCCCGACACGCAGGTGAGGCAGCTGTCCGGCCCGGGCCCGGTGCACGATTCGCACGACGGATGGCAGCGGATATAGCGCCTGGAAGCCGGGTCATACCATGACGGCATGAAGTTGTATGCATTACACCGGGTCATGTCACTCAGACCGACGGACCCTGTGCAAGAGTGACACTTGGGCGGGTAGCTGGGGCCCGTGCAGGTGACGCAATCTGTGTCGCATTCGTAGCAAGTGAACGTCCCTTTCGGGGACGGTGGACTGGCATCCAGGTCCTTCGCCTCCCAGCCATAACCTGGCCCGCATGTGTAGCACAACTGCTGGTTGTCGGTGCAGTCGGTGCATGGTGCCTGACAGGGGGCACATCGTCCTTGAGAACCGATAGACTGGCCGAAGGGGCAGCTAGCCGTGCACAGGCTTCTCATGGTCGGGTCCGGCGAAAGGAACTTCAGCCCCGGCCGGCAGGCAAAGCACGACGTGGCGTCGTCGCACGAGGTGCATGACGGGTCGCATGGCTGGCAGCTGCCCTCGGTGTCGGCGAATTGCCCGACCGCGCAGTCGGCCGCGTTGGCCACCGGCGTGGCCATGGCCACCAGGGCCGCAAAGATCAGTAGCACCAACATCAAGGCCCCGGCCGGGGCGCATGCCGATGCTCGGTATCGCATGGTGGATATCCTGCGAGGCAGGGATGAGGGGGGAGGGGGGGGAGCGAGAGAAGGGTGAAAGGAGAAGAGACACCTTGGGGGGGGGGGGGATGGATGAACGCTCGGAACGGCCTCCTCCCAAAAGGCAGCCTCAAATAGGCTTGCGGCCGGGGGCATTGGAGATGCGCGCAGGGCCGAGCAGCAGTTGCACCTACTTTCCGTGCCCCCCCCCCCCCCCCCCCCCACGTCCCTCGCTCCTCCGGCCACTGTACCCAGCAACTATGAGGCACAAATGAAAAAAAGGGTGGCCATTCCCCCGGCCTGCCCTCCGTGCGGAGTGTCGCATGCCCGCCGCCGAAAGCCCGCTTGCAAGCAAGCTCGAGTCAGGATGCCGGGGCACGAAGAAGCAAAGAAGAGCAGCCGCCTTCCCCCTTCGGCTGTGGTGGACCCACCTCTGGGCTCCGAAGGGGTGATGCCTGAAGTCTTCCACATTGGGTCTCGCCGCCAGGACATGCGTGTCTGCGTGAGTGAAGCCACTTCGCCCGCGCCCTGGACAGCCTGTTCGCCGTATCTGCGGCGTTCGCGGCTGGTCTGCCCTCATCACAGGGTCCGACCTGCGTGGCGCCTCTCCCTCCCCTAAACGTGCGTAGGCGTGCGCATAGCACATGAATAGGCGCGCGTGCACATACAGCCATAACATACACACATAGCCATAGGCACAGCCGCACAGCCGCACAGCCGCACAGCCGCACAGCCGTACACACACACAGCCGTACACACACACACACACACACACACACACATACACGCGCATAACCAGGGTGCCCCTCCCAAGGGCAGTCCTCGGAGAGGCCTACTCCCCGCCCCGGGTGGGCCTGGACGCGGAGGCTGACGCGGAGATGGCCCCCCCCCCCCCCCCCCCCCCCCCCCCCCCCCCCCCCCCCCCCCCCCCCTGCCTATTCCGCTAGTCCGCCAACTACCTCCAATCCAAAGGCTGTTAGCGACCGGATGTGCGATTGATTGGTACTTGGCCTGCCACAAACATTCGCTCCCTGTGGGGCGGATGGCGTGCGCCATCCTGGCGGAAGAATTCCTCCGGCGCTTCTGTGATTGCGGCGACTTCCCATTGCGGACTGCCCGCGGGGGGCTCCCTCCGCAGCTGGCACAGGCCTCCGTGGCCACGCATGCGCGCCGGCGAGTTGGTCCTTCGAACGGGTATCATCATTCGTCGGCGCCCCGTCCTGGGCTGACCCGACCCCGAACGCCGGGCGGGAATTTCCACACGCCCCCGCCCACCAGCCTCACCCGCCCCGCTGGCAAGGAGGGGCGGCTGCTACCCCGTCTTGTGCGCGTGGCCTCCCATCGTCATTTTCCGGATCGAGTGGGCTCTCCCCTCGGGCGAGTTGGCGACCGGTCTGACCCCCGCCTATTGGCTGCCGCTCAGAGCCATCTCCCCCCCCCCTCCCCGAGCCGGTGCCCGACCTGAACACGGGCCAGCTGGTGGCACCCCGGCAGGGATCGACCGAAGCCGGCTCGGTCCGGCCCCTCGA